CTTGTAGCCTCTGCCCATCTTTAGGCGTGCATGACATACGGGGAAATCTCACGACGGAAATAGTGTATGTTTCTCGGCTCTGGCCGGGTGTCGGGGTGTGACTTGCTTTGTCGGTGATTTAACAGGCAACATAAACGTCATTAATACAAATATCACCGTCCAAGACTCTCTCTCATCCCATAATCACATGCTAGTATGCTACAGTCTCAAAAATCATAAGTAGATCGTATACTGACTATGAGAGGAAGTAGAAAGAGTGTACTTCTACAAAAGCATAAATTTGTCCTCACATATGATATCTATGAACCAGCCGGTCGACTCCGCCGGTCATATAGATCCACCCCACTAAGCTTATCATGCAAGTGAAGCCAGCAGCTCCTCCACCCGGCGACGTTCTTGGACCAGCCGGCCGGCCGGCCGCCGTTCCACGGTTTGGCTTGGTACGCATCAATCTTCCATTCTTCAAGAAACCAACGCGCATGACGATGCACTCATAACTTCTTCTTGAAGAGCCGCTCGTGTGCCACGCCGTGCACATCGTCTTGCGCCTTCTCCCAGACGGCGTGCGGCACGATCCCGCCCGCCCACACCCCTGGCCGCTGATACGCCTCTTTGCACAGGACGTGGGCGACCTGATTGCCCTCGCGGAAAATGTGCTGGACCTTGTACGCCGTGAAGCACCCAAGCAACATGAGAATCTCATCTTGCATGGCCCGAGGTATGCGCGTCTGCGTCTCCTCGCCTGTGAGGAGCTCCACCAGCATGAGGTCGTCTCCTTCCGCCACCAGCCTGCCGCGGAAGCGACTTAGCGCAAGGCGCAGCCCGCGAATGAGCGCCCTTGCCTCCACTATCCCCACCGTTGAGTGCTCCGTCGGCTCGGCGAAGGCGGCAAGAACGCGGCCGTTGCAGTCGCGGATGGCGCCGCCGATGCTGGCCCGGCCGGACCCGTCATTGTACACAGACCCGTCGAAGTTGAGCTTCAGCCAGCCGGCGGGGGGAGCTTCCCACCTCACCATGACACGGCTGGGGTAGAAAGGGGGAGACGAAGGAGACAAGGAGGCGATGGAGGCCGGCGGCTGATACGAGTTGGCTGGAGATGAAAAGGGGGCCCTGCAGAAGGGAGCAAAGGACGCTGGCGCAGCAAGGCATGCCATGGCTAACTACTCGTGAAATTCTAGCGTAAACAATCTTCTTTGTGAAAACTTTAGGTCAAACCAGTAAAGGACGCTGGCGCAGCAAGGTATGCATGCTGGTTCTTGTATATATAGACTTTCGAGCGGGTATGATGCAAAGGCCGGCCGGATTCGGAACCCGATTTCAGCTCGAGGGGCTTTCTCGGAAATCCAGATTCGGCTGACTTTCTAGTAGGGTACGCGCTTGTAGGTTTTCAGTTGAGTAGTTCGGTTAGAATAGTAATTCACCTGTAATCCAATTGATTAGTCTAGGAAAGTGACGTGCATGGCTAGCATGCCGTAGCCAGGTGAGACCCGTCCTGATGGATGACATGTGGCATTCACAAATCACAAAGCATCTAATCTCTCCCCCCCTGATTTTAGGTGGGGGATAGGGTAGATGCTTTGTGATTTGTAAATGCCACGTGTCATCCATCAAGATGGGTCTCACCTGCTAAACCGTGAGACCTGGTTTTATAGAATTTTTTTCCCATGCATACGACTCGGATAGCTAGCTTGCTCGTAGGTTTCCTTCCTTCATTGCTAATCCTACACATTAGGCGTGCTAATCGGACTTGCTCGACCAAATTTTCTTGTTTTATATACTGTACTTAATATTTTATTTTTTTGACCTTTTCTTTTGCAAAATGGCCTAGCACCATTGTGGAGCTAGAGGGTAGACAGGGTGGGGCCGCGGCCCACTCTGAAATTTCGGACCGCATAGGTACCACGAACAATAGAGATGGGCCGAAGAAAAAGAAAAATGCCCAATGTCTTTGACCCAACAACAACAACGCCCAACGGGAGCCAGCTCTTCAAGTGACTTCGTTAAAAAACCTCTTCCAGCAACTTCCATCCCCGATGCTCAATGGCCTCACCCCGTCAGCCTCTGCTTGGCGCCATCATCGGTCGCCAGTCACCGACCGCCCAGAAGGCTCCTGCCTCTCTGTACCGCCCGCCCGACGCCAACCGCGCGACCGCGTTCCCTGCACACTCCCTTTGGTGATTGCAGCAGACACAAATAACCAGCTCCTTCCTATTGCCTATGCATTTGTCAAGGGCGCCGATAACAAACATATCTAGGTTTGGTTCCCGAGTTGTGTGAAGGTAACAATTGTGAAAAATCATACCGGTGTTTGCATCGTCTGTTCGCAATACATGGCTATTGTGTGCACTCGACCTGATCAAGTAGTCGATGGACCCTGAGTGAGGTGGCCCGATCTGGAGACAAGGTGGTACATGAGGCATTTGCTCATAAATTTTGACTCAAAGCTGAAGAACAAGAACTAGTTCAAGTTATTCAAGAGGATGTGCATACAAAACATGGATGCCAAGATGGCAACAATCTAACAGGGAATCAATGGACAGATCAAGCATGCGGCCTTGTTGGAGGGAGAAGATCATAGAGGTCATAGGACTACTATAAATCTATCCCAATGGATCACCAAGAATTCCCTCAATTGTACAACTAGGCGTAGGCTCATGACATCGGGGCTCACTATGACATAAGGACTAGCAATATACCGGAGGTGTGCAATGGCATGCTTAAAGGTGCGTGATCCCTCCCAATCATAGGCATGGTTAATGAAACTTGGAATCAGACTATGACATACTTCTCCGATAGAGTCTATGTTACCAATGCACAAGTGGAGATGAACAAGCCATGGTTCGAAAAGATGCAAAAAACATATGGACGAGTAATCGGAGAAATCCTGGATGCATGGTTGTAGTCAAGTGGACGCACTTAGGAAGAAGTGTCAAGTCATCATACGAGCCAAGTTTGTGAAAGGTCACCACATAGGAGTTAAGGAGCATGTTGTCACCCTTGGTCAATGGTGTGTGAGTTCACTTGCAATAAGTCCAAGCTTCTGTGATGCCCATGTAGTCATGTCCTCTGGCCAGAGTAGATAAGAACATCAAAGTCTACCCATACATATCTACTTACTTTAGCACTTACAATCTATTCAACACCTGGAACTGTGATTTCTTTGCCCCGGGAATTCATGAATCATGAGCACAATAGTGACATGTGGTCACATGGCATTCAATAGGTTACAGACATGGTGATGATGAGAACCTTCAAGGGACGACGTCCATCTCAGCGTAATAGAAACAACATGGACCATAGCTAGTCGGGAGAACCACGTTGGTGTCGCACTTGCAAGGCAGTGGACACATACAACGTGAATGCCCGTATAGAAACAATTACCTCGAGTGATGTAATTTTTAAATGTAGTTAAATGTTGGATGTGTGTGGTGTTAAGTTTTATTTATATTCGTTATGTTTAGTTTTATTTGTACTCCTGGTGTTAGATTTTGTTCCTAATCATGATGTTAGGTATTATTTGTAATCATGTTGTCAGTATCATTTGTATTCCTGATGCTACATTTTATTTATACTCATAAATTGTACTGATATTGCATTGAACTACTTGTAGTACACTATAATTATGCGTGTATAAGTTATGATTGAAGTGTTAGCCCTTCTGCAGGGACCGCACGATGCCGGCCACCATTGCCACCTCCGGTTAGAACCTCACGGTCTGCTAGATCCTCCTCCAACCTTCAGGCTTCAAAGCATAAAGAACAAATGGAATATGAACTCCTGTTTTGAGCCTTACCTTAAGGCTCACGGACTAGTTACCTTTTCTAAGCTCATATCCGGGGATCACATATTCACGTCAGACCACTCTCTTTTGACGGCCTTTGCTAATTGGTGGAGACTTGAGACACGCACCTTTCACTTCCGTTCGGGGGAGTTGGCGCCTACCCTAGAAGATGTGGCCATGATCATTGGCCTACCAGTCAGTGGCAAATCATTGGTCCCTCCACCATACTCCATAACTTGGGCACACAATGTGGAAAACTGACTTCCGGATGACACAGTGCATGCGCAAAAGCATATGGGGTATCCCTACATGTTTTTTTTAGCAAAAGAGACCCACCCCCCCCCCATTTCCTTTAGCAGAAACCATGGACAATGCTTCCAGATCAAACTCACAAAAAACTAGATAGGACCATGCGCTAGAGCATAAATGAACACTCTAGCTAAGAGAACATCGACCAAAAGGAGCTACCTCCAGCACCAAGCACAACTCCATTACATTGATTTAAGCCAAGGAGATCTAGACTAAACTTAGAAACCCATAGAATATGAAAGCTAGTCTCAAAAGATAGTTGGCAAGGAATGAAGCAACTCCATGTCAAAGAAGACATCTTCACCAGCAATGTACACATCAGCCACCGGTAAATCGAAGCACCCCAGGACTCCATCCTCTTGAAGCATGGAATACCTCACTTGATACTTGCTCTAGAAGCCTTACTCCCTAGTTCAACTGCCTTTATTCCATAGAATCACAAAAGGGTCAATTACCAATCTGTGTCCGAAGAATACATCATTTCTGCAGGTCCAAGTCAACCACAGTAAAGCAAAGATACCAACACATAACTTCATTTTTTCTCCTTTCCAAACTAGGAGATCCGGCTAGAAAACATTGTTTGCACATCAACATGCATATACTAGAAACTAAAAGTAGTTTGCAAAATACACTACATGAACTTGGCAACTGAACAGTGAATAAACGGGTGATCAACAGTCTCATTAATAAAACAAAAGGCACATTTAGAGTTGCCAATCCAGCCCCTTATTATCATCAGGTCATCTTTTGTTAGCACATTGTTATGCTCCACCAGCCTAAGAAACACATTGATTTTGGGTGGAACCTTCACTTTCCATAAGAATTTGAAAGGAAAGTCAATATAATTCACAATCAATAGATTTAACCAAATTTTTACCATGAGTTGTTAAGGACTAGGTCGATATATCCTTTTCACCAGAAAAATAAATGTCAGAATATCTATCTTTGACCTACCCACCCCCAATTGATTCAAAGTATCACCTCACAAAGTCCTTCTAAATTTAAAATGATCCCAATCACTATTAATAACATCACTCAGTTTTATATTTTTTGTAAAGCACAAATTATATAACCTCGGGCATGATTGGTTAAGTGGTTTATCATATAACCACCAGTATTCCTGAAACCCGATGTTTTCACCATTGCCAACTTTCTTATTGATACATTTAAAGAAAAAGTCTTTCATAGATAGGAATCCCACCCAAAACTGGAAATCGCCCAATTTCTGTTTTATCCCAGAAATACGTTTTCCTTTAATATACTTCTCTAACAAAATAGTTTGCCAAAGACCCTCCTAAGTTTCAAGCTTCCAAAGATATTTAGCAAGGAGAGCTTTATTCATGAGGTCTAAGTTGAGGACTGATAACCCACAAGTATAGGGGATCACAACTGTTTTCGATAAGTAAGAGTGTCGAACCCAACGAGGAGCTAAAGGTAGAACAAATATTCCCTCAAGTTCTATCGACCACCGACACAACTCTACGCACGCTTGACGTTCACTTTACCTAGAACAAGTATGAAACTAGAAGTACTTTGTAGGTGTTGTTGGATAGGTTTGCAAGATAATAAAGAGTACGTAAATAAAAAGTAGGGGCTATTTAGATAAAGAAACAATAAAGTAAATATAGCGAGTGTGGAAAAGTGGTGGTAGGAGTTGCGAAATTGTCCCTAAGCAATTGACTACTTCACTAGACCGATAGCAAGTATTATGTGGGAGAGGCCACTGCTAGCATGTCATCCCTGACTTGGTATTCTATGCACTTATGATTGGAACTATTAGCAAGCATCTGCAACTACTAATGTTCATTAAGGTAAAACCCAACCATAGCATTAAGATATATTGGTCCCCCTTCAATCCCGTATGCATCAATTTCTATGCTAGGTTGAAGCTTCTGTCACTCTTGCCCTCCAATACATAGTCCTATC